ATGTAGTTTAGGTCCCCTATGACTACCACTTCCCTAGTCTTTATGGTCTCTGAGAGCTGCCTCAGGAGTTCCAAATCTAGTTCTTCCCCTTGGTGTGGGGGTCTGTAGCAGACCCCTACCACCAAATCCCTTTCCCCTTGACCTCCATGTATCCTAATCCACAATCCTTCTACTTTCTCCTCCTCCAATTCCATTTTGATAAGGGTCGATGTATAACGCTCCTTGACATAGAGCGCGACCCCTCCCCCTCCCCCTCTCCTCCCTACTCTATCCTTTCTGTACAGCTTATAGCCCTCAATGTGTACCACCCAGTCATGGGTAGAGTCCCACCAGGTTTCTGTTAACCCCACTAAGTCATAAGTGTTTTCTGCAAGCAGGAGTGCTAGTTCATCCTGCTTGTTCCGCATGCTCCTAGCGTTAGTGTATAGGCACTTGAGCCCTGCGACTGGCGCCTTTATTGCCCCCCGGCTCTGATGCCCAATGGGCCCCTTATTGCTTACCTACTTATTGCTTACCTGTGCTGTACTGCTGGACATCCCATGGACTGCAGTTTCCTGATGTTCTCCTTCTTCTGCCTCCCCGTCCCCAATCTGAGCTAGTTTAAAGCCCGACGTAGGAGATCAGCCAACCTGTTGGAAAAAAAGACTTTTACCTTTCGCTGAGAGGTGAAATCCATTGTGTCCCAGGAAGTCCCCTGCCAGGAAGTGTGGGTCGTGGTCCAGGAAGCCAGATCCCGCACAATGGCACCAACTCCTGAGCCGCAGGTTGACCTCTCTGATGCAGGTGTTGTGATGCCTACTGTGACCTCTGACCGGGAGGATGGACAAAAAGACCACCTGAGCCCCCATCTCCCTAAGCCTGGCCCCCAGAGCCCTGTAGTCACCCACGACATGGTCAGGATTACTCCTGGCCGTGTCATTGGTTCCCACATGGATGAGGACCATGGGATAGTAGTCCAAGGGCTGGATCAGATCAGGAATCCTAATTATGACATCCTGGATCTTGGCCTCTGGCAGGCAACACACCTCACGCGCCATGGGATCTGGGCGGCAGATGTTTCCCTCTGCTCCTCTCAGTAGGGAGTCGCCCACTACGATGACACGTCTCCTCTTCCTCCAGTAGCTTGTCTGGCCCTCAGCTTGCTCAGGGATGGATTGGGGCTCCTCCCATGCTGTCTCCTCCACCGCACTCTCCTCCAGTGCAGCCAGGGCTTCATATCTGTTCCCCAACTTGTACCAGTGGATCCATTTCTGTGACAAGTGACCTAGTCCTAGAGGTGACTGTCGTCCATCCTTCCATATCAGCTTTGGGGCCTCTGCAGTCCGCTCCTCTGCCTGGTGTCTGGCTCTGCAGAGAAAGGAAGTGCCCATCAATCTCCTCCTCAATTGCTTTGATCCCTCTCAACCTGCTCACCTCTGCCTGGAGTACCACCACCTGCCCCTCCAGTGCCTCAACCCTGGTACATGTGGGACAGGTGGGGGGACCCCTGGCCTCCCCCCTGCCCCCGGGCCTCTGAGGACCCGCCAGGCAACCCCTGCACACAGGGGGCCCAGGTGCCACCACCCTGCTCCAAGGCTCCATCTGGGTGGAGGTCTAATGTCTTTCTACTTAGAAAAGAGTTCAAAAACTCTAAAACAAAATGAAATGTATCAACATGATTGATTTTTTTGAAAAGAGCTAAGATTGACCCCCTTCATACTTTTCTTCCAAAATGATGGGTTTTTCAAAATCTTTTGCTAATCTCATTGTTCTTTGTCCCAATTCAGGGTGGGAATAATTTTTGAATAACCAGATTCAGGCAACCTACAGAAACTGTTTCCATTCATGTGCATTATGCATTCACTGGTCTTTTGGACCCAAAGTATGAGTTTCCACAATAAGTTGTTGTACCCACCTGATAGACATTGAATATACTCTTTTTCTTTTTTGAGCTGAGGGGTTTATTGGTGTACATTCTTGTTAATGAGTGCCTGCATGCCTAGAGCCAGAGACTTTAGAAACAATAGAAAGACACCATTAAATTCACAGGAATGTAGAAAACTTTCACTGAAGTCACAGTGCGGGGGAGAGGCAATCTGGTTTATAGTGTACTTGCAAAAATATTTATGCCATAGTATAAATATCATAAAACACTCTCATATAAATATAACATTTTGTAAAAAGCCCAATGAATTAAACAAAGCTCAATTTTGACTAACTGTTAGTAGTAAAAAAGATGTACATTCTGGGTGCTAGAAAAGGAAATGAAAAACACTTGGAAAATCCAACAGCAAGAGACAAACCAGGATGACTTTTTCAAACAAGTTCCTCTAAATATCTAAGATGACTCAACTTCCTGTACCACAAACTTGGTCTCCTACTCAGCCTGTGGGTCATAGTATTGTGAACTAAGGTAGGAACCAGACAAACTTTAAAGACAAGGACCCAGATTCTCCAGGGCCCTGTCATCCCATTTTAATGCTGGTGTCAATCCCTGATGGTTATAGAATTAGTCTGATGCAATAAGAGTGGAAAATCAGGCTTGGTCTACTAAAAAAGGAGAAGAAAAAGAAAATGATGCCATTTATGTAGTTAGGGAAAGGCTAAATCACTGGATATAATAGACACCTATTACCATCCTTTATCTATTAGACCCAATTACAATGTTCCTTACCTATCCCTGATTAGGGGACAAAATGAAAATATAGTTGTCATCATTTGCGACGTGTAGGAGGATCATGAGGGGCATATGCCCCGCCAGATTTCTGCGCCAATGCTGGGTCACAAGCATGGGGCCACAGCCTCGCTGGAGCCAGTGCCCAGCAGCAGCGGTGGCGGCAGCAAGGAGTTGTGCTCCCCCACTGGCAGCACTCAGATGTCACCTATGGTTGTCATTGTTCAGAAGCAGCATAGCCTAAGGAGATAAAAACTATGAATCTCTTCTCTGTGTGTGTGTGTGTGTGTGTGTGTGTGTGTGTGTGTGTGTGGCCAACCAGGTAGCGATAGATAGATCTACATGGGCAGAACTAAGATTTTGAAAAGGAAGGTGCAAATGGTCTGGCACATGAAAACATGTAATACAACTCATTTTTTTCCAGGTAAAGAGAAACTAGAAGCTTTACTAATGTGCTAGGGGACTGGCACTATATTATTCAGTTTGAGATGAAAGGAAAAACAAATATAACTCTTTGTGCACTAATTTGCCAAAAAATATATTTTAAAATCCCCCAAAACCCTAACAACCTAGGCAAAAATATTAAAAAATTAGTCAAAAGATAATGTGCCATTAATCCAGTAATCGTTACAGTTAAATGTATACAGAAGACCCTCATCATTCATTAGGAATCCATTATGGAGATCCCTGCGAATGGCAAAATCCGTGAATACTGACAGGACTCCCTATCAGACCCCACAGCTGCCCCCTGCTCCCATCCCCAGTCCCCACGAGAAGCTGGAAGTGTGGGGCTCCCCCATAGCACCTGGGGACCAACCACAGCTTCCTCTGGGGGAAAAGATGTCACCATTGCTGCTGCCTCCCTCCCCGTCCCTGGCACTTGTTCTGTGCCCACCCAGCTCTGCCCTCCCCCTCTGCCCGCCTGGCTCTGCTCTCTGCTCTGCTCTCCTTGGCTCTGCCCTCCCCCACCCTGCACAGCGCTCCATGCCTGCTTATACAGAGGCAGGAGCTTAGTGTACTGCCAGAGGGATCTGCAGTGGCACTTGCCCCAACCCACCCCGTTGGCGCAATTGAATCCGCAAATAGCGGATTTGTGAATAGCAAGGGTTTCCTGTATCTCTTATTCAGAGTGAACATCTTGTCTATGCATCCAATACTTCACCGTCAGTCACTTCAAGGTCTGAGTTACTATTACCACACCTGAGTTAAGGTTTTTGGCTAGAGTTAAAACAGCCTATAAGGCTGTAAAATGCCCTCCCACTGCCTCCACTGCCCCGCACTGCATGGGTGGGGGGATTCTGCCATGAGCCCCCAGAGGCCCCGACAGCTGCTGCAGCAGCTGGTGAGTGCAGGCCTTTTTTTCTTTTTTTAATCCTGGGATGCTGGGGCTGGGCAGGGCATCCATTGACAGGGCTGGGAGAGCGGGCAAGGTCAGGAGGCACTCAGGGAGGTTGGGGGATCAGGCAGGGGATGGGACCTGGTGGGGGTCCCCCCATGAACCCTCCCCCGACACTTACTGGCATGGAGTCTGGGTCCAGCTCCCTGCAGTGGCAAGTGGGGACTGCCTGAATCTCCAAATCTCCTCTGAATCTTTTCTGAATCAGTTTGGAGGCTTCAGATCAATTTGGACCTTTTCATTGGTTTCCCGATTTGATTCAGATTCAGAGATTTGGCCACTAAATCAGGCCGAATCTCCTCCCAATTGAATCAGCAACTGAAGCTTTGCACAGCCCTACCAATACTTAGGTCTGCATTCAGCAAAGTGCCTCAGCACATGGTTAATTTTACATGTAAATAAATGTGAGTGACATCATTAACATCTATGACTACTTTCCAGCTAAAATTAATGCTTTGAATCAGGACTTCATATAGCAGCTTTCAGTTTTCCAATATCTCAAAGCACTAGACAAGTTTGCAAACTATAGGTGGATCCTGGAGAAATGGAGTGCCCTCAGGAGCATCTCACAAGAGATTGTGAGCCTAAATTTATACTGCCAGCATTTTAGAAGTGTTTAGGTGACTCCCATTGATTTCAATAGGAGTTAGATGGCTAAATACCTTTATATATGTGGCCCACTGTCCTAACAGCATCACTGGCATTTTTGCCTGAAAGGAAGACATGTTTGAGAGCAAGAGAATAGCACAACTTTTAAACTAACAGTCCCCAGCCCATAGCTCACAGAAAAGGTTGCCCATGAGATTCTCCAAAGCTGCTTGTAGCCCCCAAAAATTTAGTCTTTACTGACTGAGAGGGAGAGAAAAAAATATGATGTTGGTTGTCAGCATGTTATTTGCTCATTATTGTTGCTCACCAGCAAGCAAGATAGCAGACCACCTCTTTCAAAAGTCAACAGTGACATGACATAGTTCCTAGAATGTCCTGAATTTGCCATGAAACAAATTTATCTGTTAAGTGTTTGATACTGCATATGGCTCAGGTAACAATGGAAGAAGTTGGGTCATACACAAGACTAGCAGGCAATGGTGGAGTAAACTGCCCATGAAAATCAGTTAGGCCTTCAGATATGTGGCAAAGCTCAACAAAGGACAAGATCCCAACAGAAGCTTGGTTGTGAAAAGTTATTTTAAATGAGGACACAGCAAGGTGCATACAGTCTACACAATGCTCTTGGCAGTGACAAGGCATTTTTTTAAAAACTGCCCGTCTTCCTTAGTCTAGACAAAATATAATATTCATATATGGATATAAATATGGTAACCCAGATCCCCCAGAGAAAGAAATATCTGTCTCATTACATAACTGTATGAAATGCCCTGAGCTCCCATTTCATCCCACTATTGAGCACAACAGATACAGATCTAAAGTGCTGATTTCCCTTCTCACCACCACTGATTGAGAAACTGAATGCCAGGAGGCACCCTACTGAGATTCTCTTATTTATTACAAGCTATGCTTTTATACCTAAAACAGCATTCAAAAGAACTAGCAGTGGGATATCAACCTCTGTTTCCAAGAGAAGGGGAGGCAATCCAGGAAGTCCATAAGAACAGAATAAAGCTCCCTTGTTATTGGTTGGATGATCAAGATTTACCATATATGATTTTTCTTATTAGCAGGATGGGTTTAACAGAAGTTTGCTCTGTTGTGTGAGCTGTACAAAGCCCTGGGCTACAAAATAAAGATACCGCCATTTGGCCCAGTATTGTATTCTTAAAATGGGCATAGTGAGCATTTTTTACTATGTGTTAAATGCTTATTTGTTCTAGAAGTGCATTGGGCATTCCCTGTAGCATAGTGGTCTCCCACCTTTTTAAGTAGATCACCTTTGGCATTTAAAAGCAACCCAAGAGTGACCATGTGCCCCTGCCACTCCTCCTCCCCCCTCTCCCCCTGCCCAGCAGGTAAGTCTGTGGAGAGGAAAGAGGGGAGGCAGATCGAGGCAGAGAAGTAAAACATTATTTGGGGGTGTGCCTCCCCAGCTGGTAAATCCCACCCACCAGGGCCCCACTCAATTTACCCCTGCTCCTGCCCTGCCCCTGTGGCACTGTCCCTCACCATGGGGGCATCAATCTAGCCCCTGGCCCTTCCCTTCTCCATGGACTGACCTGCTGGGCTCGGGCATGCACATTCATGCATGTGGGCACTCAGGCCCCCAATGCAGCCTCAAATCAACTCCAAGAGGCTCCAAGATCTACTACAAGAGGCTCCAAGATCTACCAGTGGATCTCAATCTCAATCTCAACATATCGGCTATAGCAGTGGCCACCAACCAGTGGATCTTGATCCGTTGTGATCCACTGGTTGGTGGCCACTGCTATAGCCAGTATGTTGGAATGCCTGGTGATAGCACCTATAGTTCTAAGACTTGATTTATGTAACACCACCAATCTACAAACCCAGTCTTGAAGCTGAAATCAATGGAACACTGAAACAACTGTCAGTTGATTTAAAAAATTAAGAAAATGTATATTGCATCAAAAAAAAGCACACAAGGATGCATATTCAATGAAGAATGATCTTTTTGAAACATGCTGCTATCTAGGATGCAGTAGCAAGGCAACTAAGATATTTTGCAATCGATTTGTAGGCATGAATTTAAGCTGTACTAAAAATTTGTGCTAAGGACCACAATCAGTCAACCCAGTTACTAATGGGTACTTGGTTATTTGGATTTCAAGGTTCAGAGATGGCTAAAGTTAACAACCACGTCACTATCCTGGATATGACTGTCTACAGAAAATAACATGCCTTAGCTCTGATAAGCAAATGGGTCAACTCAGCTCAAGCAGACCCTTGATCTTGCAACTGGTGTTGTTAATCCTTATGGTGCTGCTAACATGTCATCTCCTTTAACAATTCTGATCAAGTCCTAAGCAATGA